AAAAAAAAAAAAAAAAGATTTAGAACCTCGGGGTACTAGTGGAAGGGGGGATGGAGATAATAGAAAACAAAACCACTGGCAAGGGAGCCATAAACTCACTGATAAGGAACTGGAATCAAGAGAAACATTAACAAGAAAGACATAATAAAGAGCTGCCTAAACTGGCTTTACATTTTGAATACATCTCTACAAACTCATGTGTTTTCACACAACCACTTCCCTGAAATCTTCTCTTGGAAGAGTCCCTGCAAGCAGAGAAGTAGATAATGGCACTTTCATTGGTTCCACTTGTTGAAAATCAAAATCTGAAAGAGTAACTTCGAAGATCACGGTCCTCTCAGGAATTTTGGAAGCAAGGTTTCCAGGATCTTGAGGGGGCTAACTATTGTTAGGAAAAGGTCATTTATTATTGTCTAGTAAAACCGTGGTCATGAGACCCTTCAGATGTGTATCAGGGGCCATATGCTTGGAGGATAATGGCCAACATATATCTTGGGGAGTAGAGATAAAGGAAGTTTCTAAAGGAATTTTTATATGTTAAAGTAATCCTGGAGGTTGGGATAATGTTAAGCTAAGGTTGCCTTTTGCCCTTAGCAAAGTGTTAACATCCAAGCAGCTGAGTTCCTAGAGGAAGGTCACTTTGCCAGTCTCAAGGACTTGTCAATGGGTTATATGTAGGTTGTAAGGAAATTAATTTTTTTTTTTGCCTTTGTTTCCCAAATTATTCCCCCCTGAACAATTCTGACCCTTAAATCTTCATGGTTGCTGAGGGTGAAAGTCTTGTCTTCTAACTTCTTCCTGATGAATAGGGGCATAGAGATGTCCCTGCCTAGGGGTTAACATAGGTCAGTTGGGGACTTATATATACAGAAGTTACGAAAGGCCCAAGGGAGACTGCATGTATGGATCTTCCCAAGCGGAAAGGATCATCTTTCAACTTGAAGTTATACCACTGAAGGAGTCTCGACACCACGTGGAAAGGGAAAAAACATGGGAAAAAAACAGTAAATCATGTTTAGAAACACACACACAAAAAGAAGCCCAAATAAGAGTCCTTTGGTAGTTGACAAAAATTCTCTTCTAGTCCACGAGTTTAACCAATCATTAAAGGAAAGAGAGGAATCAGGGCACCTAAGTGGCTCAGTCGGTTAAGCATCTGATTTCACCTCAGGTCATGATCGCATGGTTGGTGAGTTCAAGCCTGCGTCGGGCTCTGTGCTGACAGTGTAGAGCCTGGAGCCTGCTTCAGATTCTGTGTCTGCCTCTCTCTCTGTTCCTCCCCTGCTTGTGCTCTGTCTCTCTCTATCTCTCAAAAATAAATAAACATTGAAAAAACAATTTTTTTTTTTTAAAAGAAAGAGAGGAATCTTCTAAAGCACCAATTGAGTATTCATGTCAGTTAGAAATGCAGAAATATTGGGGCGCCTGGGTGGCGCAGTCGGTTGAGCGTCCGACTTCAGCCAGGTCACGATCTCGCGGTCTGTGAGTTCGAGCCCCGCGTCAGGCTCTGGGCTGATGGCTCGGAGCCTGGAGCCTGTTTCCGATTCTGTGTCTCCCTCTCTCTCTGCCCCTCCCCCGTTCATGCTCTGTCTCTGTCTGTCCCAAAAAAATAAATAAAAACATTGAAAAAAAAAAATTAAAAAAAAAAAAAAAAAAGAAATGCAGAAATATTTTGTGGTAATCTGGAATGTGTACACAGCATTCTGTTTTTATGATAGCACAAGTTCTACCTTGTGCAGCAGTTAAAACATCTAATGCCATTCTGTTTTGTAAAACTGCTTTACGCATCTGTGTTACTTCAATATTTAATAGAGAAATGCTATTGTGAGTGCCATTGAGGGCTATGACCCTAAATTAAGAGCTTCCATGTGCCAAACGACATCCTCCAGTCCTAAAGAGGGAATAAAGATGGATGCTGGGTGGTCATCCCAATGAAACACAGAATGTGTCCACCGTTGTTTTAAATTTGGAAGGTCAGCTGAGTTGGTAATGGTTTTAATAATGCACCAGTGCATCCGAGCAAAACCCAAAGTACAGCAGTCTGTCAAGCCTGGGGGAAGCCATGGACACAAGTTAGAGCCACATAGCCATTGGGTCTCCTTAAGAGCCAGCCATCTAATCCTGGGCCTCCTTGAACTGCAGTCAGGATAGCAAGGACTTCTCGGTTTAAAAAAATTTTGTTTTCAACGTTTATTTATTTTTGGGACAGAGAGAGACAGAGCATGAACGGGGGAGGGGCAGAGAGAGAGGGAGACACAGAATCGGAAACAGGCTCCAGGCTCTGAGCCATCAGCCCAGAGCCTGACGCGGGGCTCGAACTCACGGACCGCGAGATCGTGACCTGGCTGAAGTTGGACGCCAACCGACTGCGCCACCCAGGCGCCCCGGACTTCTCGGTTTTAGAGGGCCACCTTCCCACAGGATTGTAGATGTCAGGCCGAATGTAAATAGTAATTAATTTTTAAGGTCTAAGCTATTTGCTGAGTTATTTGGGCAATAAAAGATGATCTGTTGTCACTTTGTAGGAACTAAAGGAGTCCAAATCTAAGGACAACTTCTCTTCACAAAGTTTTTGTCATTTTGGTGGCCTTATTACCCAAATGAGTAGCCTGGTGTAAACCCTGTATCACCTTCCATTGGTTATTTTTGGATATAAAGATTTTGCCTCATTATTAATAAGCCAGTCCTGTGCATTTTTTGAATATCCTCATTCCTGGGCTATGTGGATTTCTTGGTCTGAATAGACTGGAATTATGGATTTTACTGGAGTTAAGACTTGTATAAGACTTAATATTTGTTTATTTTGTGCTGCCTGCTTGACTGCATGGTCTGCTAAATTGTTCCCTTTAGATGCTAAGGTCATATCCTTTTGATGTCCTTTGAGGTGAATGACAGCTACCTCTGAAGAGTAATACTTTGGGGCCCATATTTGATTGGGGAAGTATGGCTTCATAATAACCCCCTTTCCTTCCAAATTGCTTCATGTGCTTGTAGCACCAGAACAGCATATTTGGAGTCAATATAAATGTTAATTTTTAGGCCTTTGGCCAATCATAAAGCATAAGTGAGTGCTATTAACTCTGCTTTTTGAGGAAGACGTATTTGCTTGGAGGGCTTTGGCCTCAACAGTCTGAGTTAGATGACTATAGCATACCTAACTTTTCTTATCCCCTTTTCTATGAAACTGTTGCCACCAGTAAGCTAACTGTCTGTTGCATTTTCAATAGGGGAGTCTCTTAAGTCTGATCAGCTAGAATAAACAAGATCAATAATCTCTGAGCAGTCATGTTTTAACATGGAAGTATGATGGTCAGGCCCAGGCATAAGAGTAGCTGGGTTTAAAATTTGACAGGTTTTGGGGCGCCTGGGTGGCGCAGTCAGTTAGGCGTCCGACTTCAGCCAGGTCACGATCTCGCGGTCCGTGAGTTCGAGCCCCGCATC